TTGAGTAGCTCACGATCTGTCTCGTCTCGTTGCCCTAGATGTAGCTATCCTTAGTAAAATAACCACACACACATAGCACGGAACCGATCCAAATATTCTAAAATAACATGAAATTTAACTCGAATCATCATAACTCCAAAAAAAAAATCACAGAAATCATTCAAGTACACATATATAGGCACATGGAAACATACAGAATACACCAAACACACAAGCCTAATACAACAGCTTACTTCATAGGTCATCTTACGAATCAAAGTCAAACGAAACATGCCTCCTCAAATTCTATATTTAAGGAAACAACTAAAACAACAACAACAACCAAACCCTATTTCCATATGCAATGGGGTAAGAGGAGGTAGGGTAGTAGGCTGCCTCCAATACCAGGTTGAGAGCAGCTTCCGTGGAAGACCTCCGGCAGTTAGAAAAATTAAAAGTAAAGATAGAAATGCCATGCATGTATAAATAAATAAATAGTTGAACATTCTTCATATGCAGTCTACATATGTGCATCTGAAATGTGAAGTAATCCCTGCATAAAAATCTCTGCATATAGACAGAAATGTAAGACCCGACTAATATTTAAAAAGAGCAAAACTTGAAGTAAAGGATACACAAAATTCAACAATAGCAAGCAACGAGAAGGAATAAAGTCAGATGTGTTAAAACCTAAACTAAAGCAACACTACTCCGCTACCGTAGTTCTAAGCCTTCATAAATTTCAATGACAGAAACATATAAAAAGAATAAGTCATGGAAATTACTACAAATGCATAAAAAGAAGACAGAGATGATATACCCTATGGATGTGATATGTACTACTCAGTTACCCTGATCTTAAGTCTCCATACTTTCCTATCAGAGATAATGTCCTCAGTAAGGGCTAAATCCTTTAAATCAAATCTCAAGCAGTCTTCCCACTTCCGCCTTGGTCGTCATCTCCTTCTGGCACCGTCGACTGTAATCGACTCCACCCTCCTGACCGCATCCGATGGTTGTCGCCTAAGGACATGCCCAAACCACCGTAGTCTTCCCTCCCTCAATTTTTCGGGTATAGGCACCACCCCCAAGGACATCCTAATAGCAGAGTTTGGTGTCATGTCCCACAGAGTCCTACCACATGCCCATCGAAGCATTCTCATTTATGCGGCCTCCATCCTCCTTACGTGATCCTTCTTGATTGCTCAACATTCTGATCCATACAGCAACGCTGGTCTTATTGTCATTCTATAAAGTTTTCCCTTAAGTTTTAGAGGCATATTCTTGTCACACAAAACTCCAGTAGCAGCCCTCCACTTTAGCTATCCCGCCTTTATACGGTGTGTAACGTCATCATCCACACCCCCATCTTTATGTATCATAGACCCTAGGTACTTGAAACAATCCTTTGAGGGGAGAACGTGTCCTTCTATGCATACTTCTACATCTTCATCGTTTTGGTTCCCACTAAAGTTTGAACATAAATACTCAGTCTTTTTCAATATTGATCACTAGACCTTTTTCTTCCAAAGCAGTCTTCCAGGTAGCCAGTCTACTATTCAGCTCAGTCCTTGTTTCAGCAACTAGGACAATGTCGTCAGCGAAAAGCATACACCATGGGACACCGTCTGGTGTCGCACAGTAGATGTCGTCCATAATCAAGGCGAAGATGTAAGGGCTAAGAGCCGACCCCTGGTGGAGTCCGATTTCCACCGGGAATGGCGCGGTATCGTCAACTGTAGTCCTGACGTATGAAGTAGTTCTACAGTACATATCACGAATCATAAAAAAATAACGAATTGAATGATGATCGAATAAATGAACTGAAGTATAAAACTAAAACAAAAAGGAAGGAAAATTGTACCTTGTAGCGGTGCTTATTGTTTGGGTTTGGATCAGTAGATTTTGTTCATGAATTGGAACCCTAGATGAAGAGAAAATTAGGGAATAAATTTGATTAAATTTATTAAAAAGAAGTGAGCACAACTTTCGGCGGAATTGGGCAAATAATGCAGTCAGTTGGATTATTTAGCCAAATAGACCAATAAGAAATTTATTTTATGATCTACAATAAATGTCATAGTGTTCATGAAACTCGTCACGTCTGTATGACGAGTTTCATCGGATATATTTTTTTAATAGGACGTGTCACGTGGATTCCATGGCCCAGATTTATTTAATATATTTTATAGAACTCGTTACTCGGGCATGACGAGTCCCAATATTTTTTTTGAAGATGATGAAGATATTGTTCCGTTGGTAGACGATGACGACACACCATTAATTGATGAGTCCAATATTTTTGAGGCTGCTTCAGAGGGATAAAGTGTGGATGTTGAGGTTGATGTATGGGATGCAGCTCTTTCAAGATGTCAAGGATTGCAAAACGCTTCAAATGTTTGGGCAAAAACATACCCTCAACTTTAAATATCTTGTCATTATTTGCCTCGATATCATCATGCAGTTGCAATGCATGACATTAACTACGATGCAATGTGGAATCCTGAAATATATGATATGTCAGAGCTATGTGCTTCCCACTGGAGTTCTTCAGACGAGTGGTCATCTGAGTTGCCCATTGAGCCTTAATTTGAAAAAAAAAGAGGCACAACTAGCAATTAAAGAGTATTGCATCAAAGCTCATCTTCAATTCTATGTCGCGGAGTCATATCAAAAGACTTATTTCGTACGGTGTGTACACCATGATGTTGGCTGTAAATGGAGGATACGAGTATCATACCCATAATGGAAGATATTGTGGGAAGTTACAAGGTTCAATGCACAACACGCATGTACAATGACCTCCTTGACACAAGACCACAGACATTTAGATTCAAATGTCATATGCTCTTATGTGAAACTGTTGGTGGAAAAGATCCAAGAGTGTTTGTTTCTGTGTTAGTGGCATCCATTCGGAATACATTTGGTTATATTTCGACTTATTACAAAGCATGGATGGCTAAATAAAAAGCAATGACCTTGTTGTATGGTGATTGGGATCAGTCATATAATGAGCTACCACGAACCTCCTTCCCATGCCACTCGACTCTTCATCGATGGTTGATATGCACCATATCCACTATAACTTTCTTGCGATTGATAATAATTGGTGGTAGCATAAGATGAAGATGATGAATTTTTTTGTATATTTTGCATTCATTATTTCCCACTCAGACCGTTCCTCTGGCGTTGTCAAGTATGGTTTCCCATTTGCTTCATAATTTTAGAGGTTGGGAGAAACATTGAAATCAAAATCTTCGGGTTGTACCTCGGAACGATTAGGCAATCATAAATGTCTATTTTGTCATTGTTGTATGAATATAGCATGCTTCCTCGGCCAATCTCCGTTGTGCTTCCCACGCGCATCTATTTTATGCAAATCGTCCATGTTAAATATGGACATTTTTATCGGTTGATGAAACCCAAATTGTCGCAAAACTCTATCGACGGCATGGATCTCAACAATTGCGAAATAGAGCAATGGTGTTACGGCACACCATGTCTCCGTTCCATCAAAGAACATTGGTGGTAGACACCGTTAGATATCTGACTTATAATAAGACATCCAATTAAACTGTCAAAAGTATTATGTTAGTATAATTAAACAATTAATATTACAATTTCAAAGTTAATGAAAAAAAATATTAAAATTTATCGCATATCTACCGGCGATATCAATCCTCATCTGAATATCTACTTTGGTTGCACCTGATAACTTTGTATCAGTTATTTGGTGTCGTCATCTAAAAAAATTACATTATTTATTGTTATTTTTAAAATATTTAAATAAATATTATAAAATATTATAAAATATCAAAACTTTAAATATAGGAATTTACCTTGTGACGAGAGGAAACTCTATAGGAGCTGATGTAATAGGAGTAAAAAAGGGGAGAGACGATACCACGCCCATAATTGGAGCAAAACTAAACAACCCGCTACATCCGCGTTTTTTCCTCTAACCACTATGGTCGCCTTGCAAAGTTCACGATACAAAAAAGTCAAAATTGCAGAACCCCAACTATATTGGCGACATGCAAAGAAACCGTTCAATACTAGAAGATATTGGGTATGCACCAAATTGCCTGATTTATCCGGTAGCAAGATCCCTCCAATTAACGTCATAAAATATGCTCGAGTTACATATATCACCTCTTGTTCCGTTGATTGTTCATCTACTTTAAATTCTCTTTCCAACCACGTCATTCGTATCCACAACCCATCAATGACATCTGCTGGAGCCTCCTTTCCCAATAAATTTGAAATAACAACATCTCGCGAATAAGTGTTGCGAATCACCAATGACATACTATTAATAGGAACACCAAGTTGATATGCGACATCTTCCAATATTATTGTCACTTCACCACAAGGAAAATGAAACATATGCGTTACGTTTCGGGCCTCCAACACTCAATCAACGCCGATATCAATGTCGACATCACCTTAAATCCGCGAACAAACTTCGCTCCATATAATCCAGATTGTGAAAGATATATCACCATCCGCTGATGTGGCTCTTTATTCGCCGTTCCTCGATGACGAATGCCTCATTCTTCTTTCTACAATTTAAAAATAAATTATTTAATACAATTACATAAATAATTATTATTAATACTATAATTTTGTCAAAACTAAAATGAAATAAAAAAAAATTAAATTTACCGTAGTCAACTCGGTCGACGAAATATGAACATCATAAAGACGTAACATTTCTTCTCTTGAGGCCATTTTAACACAAAAGTTTTTACTCTCAATAGAATGTTTGATTCCAAGTGAAAAATCAATCCAACCCAAACCTCTATTTATACTACTCTACCTAACGGCTATAAACATATAGTTTTTTCAAATTGAAATTGAATTTAAAAAAAAATTGACCGTTCAACAACGGTCAACAAATTTAAAATTATACCCGTTGGAACTCGTCACATTGACGTGACTCGTCACAGTTCCGTGGATACTGTAGTATTTGCCGTATATTCCAAAATAAAATTTCGAGTGCCCTTTTGGGCTAAATAATCCACCCGCTTGGAACTTCATCAAAATTTGGTGCTGGTCTGTTTTTATTGGTTCAAGTGATTATATTACTTGACTTTACACACACGTGGAATGATGCCTGGGTTGTAAAAGATGAACAGAAATGGTTGGTTCAATTCTGGCAGTTCATTAATGTTCTCCATTGTTTCTTCTATTTATTTAACCCTTAAATTTTGTTCCTTCAGGTACATTGCTTTACTTGTTGTATCAGTCGGTTGCTATCTCGCGGCATTTGTATTCTCCGGCATTTTGTTTATATGGTTCAACCCTTCTGGTCATGACTGCGGCTTGAACGTCTTCTTTACTGTCATGACAATGATTCTGGCATTTTCATTTGGAATTATAGCTCTGCATCCTGCGGTAAGGATACGCTTGTTTCTTTTTATCATCAACTTGCCTTGCCTGCTGCAAAGACTGAGTTGCATAATTCAAATTTAGGTACATATACATGTATATCAAGCTGTTTAAAGAGTAAGTTATTGCACAAAAATTGGACAATATATCTGGTTAGCTCCTTAGGCCATCTGCTAGTTTATTAACTCTCCATGCTTGTTTATTGTTCGCATTCCGATACTCCAAGGGCAATGTAAACCACAAATAGGAAAGCATGCGGCATGCACCTTCGCATCTGCATGCAAGACGTGAAACAATGTGCCAAGTCCCACTTTGAGCTTTGGCAAGCTTGTAGTATTTAGTGGTATTGGTTTAATGAAAATATTTTAGATTTTTGCTACTGAAAACTTAATTGAAATCATAAATCTTACACGGGTGAATGGCAGTCTTTTGCCTGCTTCAGTGATATCAGTTTACTGTGCTTATTTGTGCTACACGGGTCTCTCCGGTGAACCTAGAGATTATGCATGCAACGATCACCATTATAAATCCTCAGCTGTTTCTACAAGTACTCTTATTACCGAGAGCCCAGATCTCATAGATGTTGGCTGGACATTAGTCTGGGTTCGAATCTGCACCGAGTGGGTCACTGCTGGACTCTATATTTGGACCCTCGTGGCACCTTTGATTCTCCCTGACCGCGAGTTCTTCTAAGCTTCATCTAGAATGCCTAGCAATTCAAAAAGCCATTATCATCTGAATAGCTGAGTAAATAGGTATATGTAAAGCTAGTAAGCTACTAATCTCTTAGAACTATCAATGTTCTGCTTCCTTTACTTTTGCCGAAACCCATGGTTGTAGATAGTGAAGCCAACTTTGTTTGTTGTGTCCTGCATATAAAATCAGCATGATGAATGTAAAAGAACAAAATGGTTGTTATAAGTTCCTCTATACGACTTTTAGTCGTTATTTTAGGCTAGATATCCAAGTTCGAGCAACTATACCTGCAAAGTGTATACTTTATCAATGATTAAGAAAGATTATGAATATATACTCTTTATAATCACCTTAAATTATCAAAACTTGATTGATTTATGTAACTAAACTTTCAAGTGTAACATTAGACAAGTCTTAGATTCGAATCACAACATCTGCAATCCACCCCCTAATCGAACTACGCCCTCCCTTGTATCGAAAATAAAATCAGGCTTTCATTACAGAACCAACTATTTGTGTGTTAATGAAATACTATTGTACAAAAGTGGGGGATAAGGTTAGGAGTCGCAGTGTTCAATTATGAGTTCAGCAGCAGCAACCATTGTTGCAACACCTCCAATGCCAAGCAAGGCCAAAGCAAGTTCCTCTTCATCCCATTGTCTCAGTCCCTTACTTAACCTGCTTAGCACACCTACATCCACATCTAGGGCCCAATTCGGGGTGCAACCGACCATTAGGCTCACGAATCCCGACACGTAGGCATGCCACGTGGCTCCATCACAACCGAGCGATATCTTTCCGTCAAGTGCACTTGCGAGGAACTCCATGTGTGACCCGAGGATTTTAGTTCGCCGCCTTGATGTTGATGATGAAGAATCGACTCCCCAAGCAAAGGCACCACAAAGCACCGTGAAATATGCAAGTGCGTATCCCTCAAGCATTGCCACAAGCCCTGATCCTTCCTCTCGGTTGGACCTATGAACAGATATAAACCAAGAGGGAAGAGTTTCCTTTATCAATGAATGAACCAGACCATGGCCACCGGACAACCATACTAAAGAAGCAGCTAGGGAGGCTGAGAGTTTCACTCTATTCATTGCTGCAGCAAGAGAAACCTGCCCGTATTTCATTCCATTCTTGCTCGTCTTCAGCTTCTTTATTTTCTGCTTTAGCATACCACTACATGCTATTTCTCTAACAGAATGCATCAAGAGAGAAATCACCTCTTCATTTATGAACATGATATATCTCATGGAACGGTAAATGCGCAGATAGAGAATCCCTGGAGCAACAGGTGAAATCCCACCGCAGAAATGTGACCCAAATCCATGGCCAAGAAGAGCTCCAACACCACCATTGCTGGAGATTGGTGCGCTGTTCAAGCCAAGTGTAGCAGTGAAACAGCTTTTAAGAAGTTGAACGGTAGCATCACTGTTATGGAGAAAAACGGTGCGAGATGCAGAAAAAACAAGGAAGTCAAACCATCGCTTCGCCTTTTGGGTCCACAGGGAAGCCACGATGGGCATGCAAGGCCATGGGCAGTCTGCTGCAAGGGACTCCAAAGCCGGGCCAGCCAAATTGAGAAATCTTTCCGAGGCTTTGTCAATTTTATAAGTAATGGTGAGACTTACAAAAGCAGCCAACGGTAGCGGAAGAGTAGCTAGAGAACTATCACCTGTTATTACATTATGCATCAGTCAGTCAATCACTAAAAGGGTCGGGGAAACGAAAATTCGCAAGAAAATGTTTTCAACTTAAGATGACAAGGCTAAAAACCTGCAGAAAGTCTAGGGACATCGACACCGGTGGCTGCTAGGATTTTCTTGATATGATCCTCGACATTGGACAAATTTGCAGCAGGGCTTGGCCAGTCCATACCATTCATAACAACAGGTTTCCATACACATCGACTTACTTCAGCTGAGAAGTAGCTAACGATGGTCGCCAAAGATGCAGGCAGAAAGTCAGCTAAATCTTTTAGCCCTGAAACAATCGAAGATTCTGGTTTATAACAGTATCTATTTATTGGAGCTAAGCATCACATCTTTATAATTAGCGTATAAATACAAAATTAGATAAGCACACCGGACTGACCTGTGGCCAGTTCACGTGGAGAAAGTCTTCCATGAGCACATGCTGTTAAAGCAGCATCAACAACATAAGGAACAGCTTCCAGGATATCCCAGGCAGGCAAGTTAGGTTTCAGAGAGTTATCCTCGTTTCCAGCTCCAGATGAACTACTACTTCCGGAAGTAACGGAAGTTATCGACTGGCTTCCTTTATTAATCTTTCGGAATATCATGTTAAGAAGTCCATTCACCGTCTGGTGAACGGTAGTTCCATGAACAAGAGCAGAGAGTGTTGCAGCTATACATCTTTGATGTTGCCGATACCAGACTTTTAACTTTGGAAATGAGTCCAGAAATACAGGCTCCTGGGATGATGAACTCGCAACTTCTGAGAGTCTCCTTCGGTTACGGTCCTTATGGGCGTTTTCAGAAGACAATAGATGGGAGTTCCGGACTAATAAAAGGTATTCGGGTGTCAGCTGGGATCCAACTGTGGGTACATCACCAACTCTATGTTCAATAGGAGGATGATTAACCTCCATAGCTTCAGAAGAAGAGCAAATGCATTAGAAAAAACTACGTGGGGAGATATTTCTTCCCTCGAGGGGAGGGCCCACGAGACATTGGGCACACACGACCCAAAAACTTCACATATCGGCATCAATGAACAAGCAAGCTGTGGGACCTGGAAAGACAGAAAACGAAAGCAATAAAATTTACCTTATAGCTCGTATAAAGGTCTTCATCAATAAACGACTTACATTCATGAACAAATAAATACATGAATCATACATAACATTTGTTATACAAAACTTGTCAGTAGCTTTGCATGAATGGAAAATTTGCTTCGAAGAGAACTAGTCAAGAACATATTCGAATCCTAAATGTTACCCTGTTAAAGAAAGCACATCAATGTGGAAGATAAAGAAGAAAGATATATCGTCGTTCAACCATGAAAAGTTGTGAAACCAAAGCAACATCGCTCGTTATCAGAGAAACGGATACGCTTAGGTAAGTTAGCAGAATCGTACCAGACCATGCAGTGAGAAAATCTGAACACAATCGACAGATGCTATTCCACAAATTAGTACATTCAACATAGGAGCATAATCTATCAAATGGCTGTCACTCCCAGCAAAATCAGCAGGAACCGGAGGAGACAGCAATCTAGTTATAAATTGAACTGTATATTCCTGCATTGATATATAATCAGACATAACTAGAAAGTAAAGATAATAAAAATTGAAAATAACTGCATTCTGCATAAGTATAAAAAAATGAAATATGGTAACATAAAACGGACATTCATCTTATTACCTGTATATTCCATCCGCGAATTAGAGACGCCCCACAAAGAATTGTAGCTGCAGATATCTTCTCGTCTTCTGATCCATTGATCGCAATCTCAAATATTTTCTCTACCTCTGTTAAGCTTCCATCAAATCCATGAGCTTAAATTCAGTTGCTTTACCGTTGGTAAATTTATAAAAAAGTGCAACTGATATACCTGGCTTCAGGAAAGAAAAAGGAATAACTGAAGACCAGGCCAAATCAACAAAAACTAAAGATATTCGAAAACTTGTATGTACGAAGATCACTCAGATCTCATAAAGTGTACCTATGAGTGACAATAACAGACGAAATTTCCGTGTAACATAATTATATGTTTTGCATAACAGGTTTTTCCTCCTGCTTGATTCTTACTTCTGAGAATTTTATTACTCACACAAGTATATAGATGTTTTCCCGGTAAAACAACCATATTCTGTGCTGTCCACAAGTTCTTCACAGAAGAATCACATTCGACGAGCCAATTACTACTAATTCGTTTCCTTAAATGTGTACAATTGAATCAAGGTTCATTAATGCAATTGCACCAAATCAAAATCCACATATCACATTGCACATTGAATCAAAATTCATGTGTAATTTAAGAGAAACTAGGAGCTGCACACTGGTAATCTCCGCCTATTTTGAGTGCGTGGAATTGATATCTATAAAAATGACAATTCCCTTTAACCGGACAAGCTCTAGAAAACGTACCATTACACAATAGCATAGGGCAGAAGGTTTTTGGAAATACAGTATTAAAAGAAGTAAAAAAAAACGAAAGAAGAAGCACGATTTAAGAGAGAAAGATAAGTATACCTGGAAGCAGGGCTTGAAACAAGAGCATTAATCATTACTGAAGTAAGTGGAGCCCCCTTCATGAATGATGACCAACCAGGCCCCTGAGCTGGAACACTATAAGGTAGTTGGTTAATGCGTCCGTTCACGTAACCTGGCCAACAGTAGGCTGATGTATCTAGTAGATTTCTTGCAATACAAGCCTCAACAATCAGATGACGCATGTTTCCAGCTGCAAACAAGATTAGGAAGTGTTAAAATGTGAGGATTATAAAATAAGCCTACAACTAAGCCCATTAGAAATCTTTCAACATTTGCACCATTCGTAGAATTTTCCTACCCCGTCCCTCCGAAAAATTTGGCTTCCCGATTTATCTTGGCTGAAAACCATTTCAGTGCTTATTTAGAAGCCAATATAAACCTTTGGTCACATTCTAACACAAAAGGAAACTACCTATCGATTCAACCACTGCCCCATAAACATATATGCACATGGGTTTGACTTCAAGACTTGTGAAAAAAGGAAAGCGATTAGCAGTATTGATTGATGGAACAAGATATTACTTACAACAACTGATAGGCAAGTCTTTGACATTTACACACTCAAAGTACGAACTCCCAAAATTGATTCCCGAGACGAACAACATTGCTCTGGCAGCAGCCTGGTTTGCTGCAGAAACAACAGACTTAGGAGGACTAATAAGCCTTGATAATCACCAAGTACTTGTAGGCTGGAGACCAGACCGTCACGACGTTTTCTGGGAAAGTTCAACTCTTTCCAGTGATTGGTGGAGTCATATTCTTTTTCATTACTTGGTGCACCCTCATCCTCCTCGATAAGATCAGCAACCACAAGAATTATAATAGAAAGTAGCATGCACAAACGAGTATCCAACCGGGGAATTGGACCTTCAATGGGATCTCTTTCCTAACAGTTAATTGAGACCAAAGGTAAGGTATAGCAGTCGGATTACTTCACATACCTGAAAGCTAGAGAATAATACACCACTCATCGTTCATGGAGAATAATAAACCTATAACTGATCCAAAGTGAATGTAGTGCTTGCTATAAAAGAAAGGAACTTAGATGGTAAAGCGAAGAAAGAACTTTTTTCCTTTTATATATTTCTAGGCTTGCATGCATAAATTTTCTATCGAATTAACCATATTATTGTTTCACTTTTTAAAGAGTACGAAATTTAAGTCCATTTGAGAGACAAAAACTTACACGGACAGAAGTCTTAGTAAATTTTGAATGCTTTAAGAATACATCAGATTCACGGTTGAACATGGTTACCATTCAGAGAAAAACGAACCAAAAATGCCTGAAGATTATAAAAAATTCTAACCCTTTGAACAAGCCGAAGAGATGAGATCCAAGGCCTAAAAAGGTGTCATGCCAGCTGGTGCCATTATTGCTTGAAGAGTTTTAATCAGACCTGCACAATACGTTCTTGCATATCAGTTTTGCTACAACAGGCCACCTAACAATTTCAACTGAAAATATCATTCAACCAAAGAAGATATGTAACTTTACCAGTAATAATTTCAATTGCACTTGTCGTGTTAACAAGATACCATCCATAGCATCTTCTAATACCAGATCAAGAGGGAGCCAAAGATCAGAACGACTAGCTCCATGGCATAAAGCAGCTGAAGAAGCCAGAGATCCAAATGCCATAACAGCATGGAACTTTTGTCCCGAACTTGTTTCGCATTTCTAGACAATACAATACGACTATCTGATGTCAACTCTAGAAGATCCTCAGATGTTAAAGCCTTTGAATTTTTCAGTGCTGCTGAATTTGCCCCAAGAAACTGCAAACTTGAATGAAACTTACCCAGTGAGAAGGCCTGGCAAGTGGAGTAAGATTGTTAAGCAATTATCAAACCCAAAAAATGGTTGTGTTGTTCAAGTAGAGCACTCTAAACAGAAACAAACCTGAAGGGAGAACTAACCTAAATTTACCCAACAAAAAAAGGAAAGAACTTTATGTGATACACATGCAGAAGAATGCATAAACACTATTCATTGAATGTATGATCTTACAGATAAAACAATGTGCAAATGGTATCTAGATTTTTCCTTTGTCATTAACTAGGATAAGAAAACTTGCTTCCAATGCTTGGAAAACCAAAATGCTCGGGAAAATAACTAAAAGCATTACATAACAAGATGACAATATGAGAATTAACAAGATACATACATGTTTTGCCGTGCCAGGTAAAGAATCCTAGAAGTCACTTATTTTGCAAAAACTGTCCAATTATCTCAATAGCCATTGTAGTATTGAAATTCTGCAACCCCTCTCGATATGCAATATTTTTCTCGTCATAAATATCATGACTGTGTATCTCCATTTCTTGAGGTTTAATTGCCCATCTAGATACCTTTTCCTCAGTAAGTTCTAGCAACCCCTCATCATTTAATGAAGCATCTAACAACTGCCACACAATTGAAAAGATGAATTCAACCACCAGAATGGCAGGTTCAGTTGTTTGGAGACCAAAAATCTCAGAGAGATGAAGAGTAGCATCTATTGATTTCATGACCCTGAGTGAAGAGAAAGCATGGAAATTAGAAACAGAAACTGATAACAATCAGTACAATCTATAATGATCATTTTAATCAAAACACTTGAATGGTGTTGGGGAATCAAAGCTCACCATGGCCTTGATAATAATCAGTATTATTTTCAATAGTCATTTTAATCAAACGTCATTATATTATGGTCTAAAATGTTTTTTAAAAGGTCAAAGTTGATGAGATAGTAAAAGGTATTCGTGCTTGAAGTATTTCTTGTAATGCATAGTTTAAACATGTCTGAGAACAAAATAGAAATAGCCTTTTTATAAATTAAATGAACAACCCTTAAATTTACCAGGACCATCATGAAATGCTAGTAAGTTGTGTAGTTTAGCAAGGGTAACTAAAAGTGTAGCCGAAAGAATTCTTCAGAGTTGGTTTGGTTTATAATGCTAACACATCTTCAGATATTACAACCGAAGCACAATGATCATGGTGAAAACGAGATCTGGTTATTATAATGCATATGGAACAACATTAGTTAATTTCTATATACAATATACTGATATGAAATAACATGTTATAACAAAAACCGTAGAGCTCATACTCATGCAATGACCTTTTTGTGATATAGTGTTCAAAACTGCAACCTAAACATTTTTTCCTCTTTTTGTCCCATATTTTTCTAGCTGATATACATATATATGCTTGAGTTTCCTCCCCCCCCCCCCACCTTTTTGCGCGTGTCAAATAATGCACTGTAAGAATAAAAAAACTCACTTTTCATGTTCCAGTCCACTAATTTGGCACTTAAGTGCAAATGCATGTCTTTTAAGAAATTCCAAGTAAAGTCTATAAGCAGCCGGATGAGAACGCCGATTGGGCAATACTCTGTAGAAAGAAATATGCCAAGAAAGTGAGGGGATTAGATAATGTATGAAATGATAGCATCAAAAGAAAATATTAGCAGATTGAAATTAGGAAACAACACTACTGTATAGCCAACCTGAAACACAATTTATATCTCCTATCCAAAATATTAGGAAATAAGTGAAAATAAGAAGAACAAAGAAGATTTTTAAGATATTTAAGCTTCATATTCCTGACATCATAAACACAAATACTCCACTCGAACAAAGATTCGATATAGTTTCTTTACTGATTTATTGTAGGGTTTTTTCTTTCTTTCTGAAGCACAAGAACATTTTAATTAATCAAGCATCACCCATGGAAACCATCCACAATGGTTGAGAAAAGTAAAGAAAAGCTATTAGTCCTAAAATTATGGCTCAATCAACTATTTCACTTTCTATTTGCTGACTTTTCTTGCTCACTTAATTAAATTTGGCTTTAAGACTAATGCTTTCTTATCCATTGCCCTCCCCTTCAAATTTTCTGTCAAATCTCTCAGTACCGTGTGAATAACAGATAAGGAAGCCACATAATCATAAATAAGAAAAAAATACTGAAAAAAGACTACAGATTTATTACCAAGATCATCTTCAGATTGAAGTAGAAAACGAATGAAGACTTGCATTTAAAGAAATTGAAAAAGGGATAAATCTTTTAGTTTTTCAAAGGAACTGGTTAAAATATTTTCTAAATCTCCAAGAAATTCAAAGTGCAACACAGATTAAAACACTAGAGAAAAGTAGGGAAACAAGTGAGGAACTTGAAATAAATCAAATTTACCATTAAATTTAACTCCATCAAACCTGATCATCACCAATGAACAAATACCACAACTTCAACAAAAACCCAGAATCTAAAACCTCCCAAAACCCACAAAAAAACGAACATCCAAGAAAGTAAATTCAAAAGCAAAGAAACCACCTTTGTGAAAGCAAAGCAATAACAAGTAAGGGAGGAACGATCTTCATCGTCAAAGCTTTATCCAAAAACTTCCACAGAATTGGGATATTATTATCCCAACAAATGAAGCTAACCAACACGTCAGCCAACTCAGTTGAAGGCAAAGAAACACCATAAGTACCCAAACTCGAAGAAACTTGCAGAGCCCAAAGCAAAGGATCGATACCCTTCTCTTTTGCCACCTTTGTCTGCTCTACGACCTCTTCCCACAGCCTGCTGCTTTGCAAGCTAAACTCCATTGGTCTAAAGCTCCACAGAAAGTAGCCACCTTGGTTTCCTTTCTCGTCTTGCAATGAAAAAGAAGAAGAAGAAGAAGAAACAAAAGAAATCACAGTTTTGATTAAAAGAATTGTGAGACTTTGAGCAATTCAGATGGAGACCCTTTTGGTTTATAATTTTTGAAGATATTTTTTATTAAAAAAAAAGGTTGGATTTTGAGCAATAAATCTGGCGTAAATGGAGATAGTCAACGATGAGGAAGGGCAGTGGTTGTTATTTTAGAGAGTTAAGTGCATAGTATGCCCCCACGTTATAACTTTAATTTAAATTGGTCCTTAAACTTTTGAAAATTTTAATTTCATCCCTTATCTATGATCCAATTTCTAAATCAGTCCCTAAACTTTTAAATATTTCAAATTCATCTCAAATTATCCAAATATGTAATTAATATCAATCATGATTTAACCTAAATTTTGTTTTTTCAAACATATAACATAATTTGGTCTAACGGTTTTATTGACAAGGGGCGTGATTAGATAAACTATAGCTTGGGATGAAATTAGAATGTTCAAAAAGCTTGGGATCAATTTAGAATGAAGGTTATAGTTTAGGGATAAAATTAAAATATTCAAAAATTTGAGGACTAATTTAAAATGATAGTCATAGTTTAGGGATGATATTAAAATATTTAAAATTTAGGGGTTAATTTAAAATAAGGGACATACTTTGAGGATATGTGATGCAATTAACTCTATTTTAGATAAGGACATTTCTTTAATCCAAAACTTGAATTTTATACATAATGCATTATTAAACAAGTTAAGCATTATAATAATTGTAATAATATTACTAATTGAATTTTATATAAATATTAATAATTTTATTTATATATTATATTAACTAGTATTGTGCATATATTATATTTAATGATAAGTGCAACTTAAAAATAAATATTATATTAAATTTATGAAGCGGCATTAATGATTAAAAAAATTATTTTCTCTTAAGATCTTGAATTTGAGTAATTACATTTGTATAATTAAGAAAAATTTTAATTATTATTTATTGAAGTTTATAAATATTAATTATAAATAATAATTAAGTCAAATATTCAATGTTAATAACTTATTTTTATTTTATTGCTTAATCATGTGCCATCCACATGATAGATTGTTAAATTTATTATTCAATCGTTATTTATTATCATTTCTTTTAGATAAGTTATTTTTTAA